CTCAGACTTGAGGTGTGCCTGTAGCGGATGGGAGGCGGGAGAGATTATCGACGCGCAAATGAAGAAGATATGCATGAAATATCACTCGGTTCTACACCCCCCTGTCAAAAGTATAGTTTATTCGATTATGAATGAAAAGTGAGTCTTACGATCGCTTTAATACGGACGATAACCCCATAATCAGGTATATGGAATTGAAATAATATCGATACTTACTAATAATACATAAACTCACCGCACCGGGTATTTCCGTTGAAACGATGCACCCGGTCCGCATGCGTAATAAACATTCAGCTCGCGGTATATCGAGACGGGAATCATTGACCTAGGAACCGTAAGTTTTTAAGGATACTACCTTAAGTAAGGTATTTAAGGTTATAGTTGATTCATGGGAATTGACTCGGCGCATGACCTCCGGCTCCACCTCATTGAAGAAGCTCGAAGGGGTGCGATAGATGTCATACGTAGATACCGGTGTGTAACTGTTTTCTAAATCCTCGAGAATTAATAGAACGCTTATTCTGTTGACTTTGGAAGCTGCCCTGATACAACCATCTCTTCGCGGAGCCATGTTTCAGCCTCGTTGCTTCCTTGACATGAAGACAAGAATTGAACCTTCGTGTGATAGGCAAAGATTTTGAAAATTGCACTGGGGGAATTGCCTTGTGTAGTCTAGCCACATCAATGGTCTTCCGGTATCCTTAATTCGAACTATCTTACACATTCTCAGTGTGACACCCCCCCCCCCCCTCCATTCAGCGTTGTGTGATATCAACCAGAGTCTGCATGATGTTTTCGCTTTTGATATTTCATCCGGCTTGCCAAGAAGGATGGTTGGTTCACAATATCAAAGATTTCGTTAGCTGGGATTTGTACACACTTCCCGCAGTCGAGTATGAAACGCCAATCGATATCTTTGCCTGCAATTGAAGCAGGATAACCGTCAAGATGTCTCGGAACCTACGAGTCTCGCGATCGAATTCCAAAGGATTCACCTGCGAGGTAGGCAGTGTAGATAGGATGATAAGCCTCACACCCCGCTTCACGCAACATGCTTTTTCCATAGTATAGAAAAAAAATTGAATGTCGGATTGCCTTTTGGAAAAGCTGATGACGTGACATGGTGACAATATCTCTTGGATAGGTAGAGTATGGCTCCGGGAATCACCCCACCCGCTGACTGGTCGGTCGGGTTCTAGACCAATCGAAAGAAACTGAGACATTCGAGCTTTGTTTATAGGCGAGTCAAACGAAATCCGCCCCGCTCATGATATATCATACGGATTGCTAATTCTTCGAGAATGTTAGGTTTCTTGAAACAAAATCATGGTGATCTAGCTTTGGACCGATCATCGGTGAAATATACTGATTTGGTACATCCGGTTTGTCAGGTCCAGCGATTTTGAGAGACCAGAGGAGGGGTGATTCATAGGCTGTGAAGAAAGCCCCCACTCTTCTCTGACACGTTGGGGGGAGTGAAAGCACATGGGTACATGAACATGCAACGGCGAAAATACATGTACAGTAGAGGCGCTGGATAATAAACTCACCTGCGTGGTCTTGAAGTCTCATGATTGAATATGGCTGCAAATGAATGATGACATTCTGCATGTAGGTTTGGGCATATTAGGGGTGCATACCGGATTCAAAAAGAAAGCATGTGTTTTGGGATTTTCAAGTGAAAATTCCAGCACTGAGGTCTGCATATATATCAAAAATCCAATACACCCTGAGACGGGGGTTATCGGTTCAAAATCCTACTAATGAACCATCTGGATACTATCAGTCCAAGATGTGACTGTATGAACTGTGTGGATTGACTGATATGCCACAATGGATAGGCTAAAGCGCGGTCAGGGTGATTATTGATGGACTAAGAAAAGAAACATCGAGTCAATTCCATGGCAGAATTCTGGGCTTTCTTGGGGTGACCTACTTGTAACTTGATATATTTCTATACTTATAGTCCCTCCTTTAGTATCATTAGCGAAGTAAGAGTCGGGATAGTATTATGAAGCGCGCAATTCTTAGAATATACTGTTTTGTCAAAACTTGTGCAGAGAAAGACGTTCGGGCTCACGTGCTGGATGAACGTATGATTAATCATTACTCTTGTCTCCTCTTTGAGCTTTGATAAAGGGGGATACCTTGAAGAAGACCCCTCCCCCGGTATATTAGTGCCTTGACTTCATCTCGCATTGTCGCCAACTGATGGTGATCTGTAATGGAGTGGTAACCTTGTGCCGTCATATGCCATCACTCGGACAAACTCACCTCATGGTCGGCTTCTGTGCATATATATATGTAGTGGGGATTAAATCTGTTTGACCAGACGAACTTGATGATGGAAAATAAGCGGGTCGGTGCGTCCCAAGCGGTGGTGGTTACCCGTATCCGGGCTGCATGCACATGGCTCATGGAGGCAAGGTGTGCGAACGTTGTCTTATGTCTGCCCTCGACATGTTTGTATACATGTGATTTATGTATATGTACAGCACCATGCCATAAGTCATGGGAAGGCGCGAGGTCGCAACGCCTGAACACAAAATCTTTCACCACCACCGATGGCGCCCAGAGACCATGTACCCCGCCAGACAGGAGGGAATGACCAGCCTCCCTGCTGTGGCAAAAAACAGGAGTCTTACAACCCTGGTTGGAGGGGAATAGGGTAGATGTTCTGGAGGACTGGCTTGCCTATTCCATCCCATTGAACATGTTTGGGTACACCTCAAGAAGCTTTACCATGAACAGTACCCCCATTTGGCATATGGTACTAGATCACCTTAAAGCCCTCGTGGAGGAAGGTCTAATTCATTGCTGGGAACTGTTACCTGATGATTTCTTTGGTAGCTAGTTGAGAGCATGCCTAGGAGAATAGAGCTGTTATAAAGGCAAGGGGTTGGTACACAAGATATTAAATGTCAAATTATTTTTATTTAGCTACTATTTAACAACTATACAAAAAACCAGCTCTCCAAAGGATCAATTGTGGTTGCTGGGTGGGTAGTCGTGGTGGCCCGGGAGGTTGCTACGCCGCGCCTTCCCATGATTTATGGCCTAGAACTATACATGTATGTACATGTAGTATTTTCCAAATGTGTCACCAAAACACATGCTTCTAGATCTATTTTCGACGAGAATATTCGTCCATGCTGATATTGCATGTTTAATATACGCGTGGCAGCTATAAAAAGGAAGACTAGTTGAAATCTTTCAAGAGTACGCAGCGTATATATAATATAAGTAAATATAGCCGGATATATATACAAGCTCCGAAGATACCAAATATTTCTACGATTGCTGCATAACTCTAGTAAACCTAACCACGAATCTATGCACTAAATACATGTAGTGATTAAATCTCCCTGTTATCCAGCTAGATTCGATTTATCTATGCCACATTATCATTATCAACTATAAAGAACGCATCTTCTACATGCTCATTGCCGCCTCTGCAAGAGATAAAACTTGGTCGAGAGCTCTTGTTATATTTATAGTCACATATGCATATGCGGAACCTTATGAAATAGATATATACTACGATATATATATCAATATAAGGGGAAGACTACATATCTCTCACCTATATACGAACAAAATGGTCTTCGTCCGGGCCTACGGCGGATAACTCAGAGGGTTAACCAGTCAACTTAGTGACATTGCAATAGCCACAAAGTACTCGAGTGTTAGCAGAGTTTGAATCTCAAGTATGTAGTATCTATCTAGAAGTGTATTATTACAACTTCTGTAGTTACATTTCTTATATTTCAAAAATAAGATGAACGCCCAGTTTCAATAGGATCATAGCATATCACTCGACAATATGGAGTCTTGGCGGATTGATTGGTTGATTGATTGTATAGACCTACATAAGTCTATGACACGGATAGGTTTGTTGTTGGCTTCCAAAGCAAATATTATCTAGAAAATGACAATGTTGTGTGTGTTGCCTTTGACCTCGGTATATAAATGATTAGTCGTGCAATAATCTGGTTGAGAATGCTGTATGAACTACACCCATTCGTACCGTATTAGTGTAGAACTCTGGGCTCTGCCCGGAACGGTAGACTAGGCAAATGTTGACAAGTCCTAAAGTGCCTCCATATTCTTCAACTTTCGTATTAGAGTCAGCATCTACAAATAGCAGTGAGAAAAGTGAGAAAAGTGATCCCGGATAAACACTTAGCTAGAGGCGATTGTTATGAGATTTGTGCATTTCCTGAATGATGCCTGCCTCGACGTTGGTGAGTGTTGAAGTGCCTCTCACTGCCTCAGTTTTCAATATTATATATTATATAAAACTTAACAGCTGGTTACACAAGGCGTCAAAGCCACCTTTTACAGCGAGTATGGTGTAAGGGTAAGGGACATGATACTAGCACTCGGCCCGAATGTCGGGCCGAGTAGGGTGGCTTTTAGGCCAGTTATTCCATTAATGGATCGTGCGTGGGATGCTACGGGGGCGCCTGGTGATGTGATTGATCATGATTACCGGATCTCGACATAATATTGATTTCGAAAGATATGTATATACATACCGGGAGGTGTACTGAATCATCACATCTGCTTCTTGACTGCATGTAGAGTACAGGGAGAATTAACTATCCCTGCATGTACACCCACTAAATACAGCTAGAGCGCGCAAGTGCTTAGAATCCTTTCGGGATTAGCTGAAGCTAGTTGATCACAGCCTCGTAAAAAATGCATGCAGGGCGATCTAATATGCATCGTGACCAAAAGGACCCTTTAAAGTCTTAGAGGTCGTTTTTCGTATGGAATCAATGAGTCAACCGAGAGCTCGCTATCCGGAAGTGTTAATGAATCGTCAGCGCAAACTAAATGACTCCTCGTATGTAATTCGAAAATGACACACCACCATGGCTACCCGGGGAGGGGGGGTGGGGTGGACATAAAAACATGCTGAAAAGCCAACCGTATGTATTGAGCTTTGGTTCTATGAAGATTGCGGGCGATTGATCTTTACGGTGTTCAACTGAGGCTCAACTTGGATTAGGGAATGTACATAGTACTGCGTTTGTATGTTATCCATGCGATTCTTCTCCTAGAGAGGGGTTATAAAAATAATAATAAAACTAGAGATGATAATTGATTACTGACCGGATAATCTCAAAATATTCACAAAAGGAAACCCGAGTGATGCTATATGACCACAACCTGAAACCGCGATTCGTGTACTGCTCTGTCTGACAGCCATATATGTACATGTAATTACGCGTTTAGTCACACCGCCATCGAGGAGGTCGTCGGGGAACATGAATATATTTAATTACTCCTAAAAGATCGACTTTTAAGACACATGACGTTAGAAACTTAGTGAGAATCTGTAAAAGACGGCTCAATCTTCCGAAGAATTTCCTACCAGAATAAATAAGGAGGGGATGTACCTATATGTATGTACTGTTCTGGGGGATATCGGCTAAGGTACACACATGAGTAGTTTTGTTCCTGGGTTTGAGTAAAACCTGCACATGGTGATATTGACAAAAGTAGTCTAGGTTCGGGAATACCTTGGAGCGAACCTTGAGGCTTATGAGAATGAAAGTCGTGGTCCCTGGCAAGCATGATGCCTGCTGGATTGGAGAGGTGTTTCTGATTATATAACATGTCTCAAAGGTGCCAAGACCTTCATCGAGTTTGTATACAATACCAGCTCGATCCACACGCGCTGTCCTCCCTAAAGACAAGAAGCAGAGAAAGCCTCTTCCCAGAGGATTTGCGACACGTCAGTCTCCTGTCTTCCTGTCAGACTTAGTCTCTGTGCCATGAATTGACTGTGTACGATACATTCAATATCATTGGCGGAGGTAGGTCACTGCCAAATAGTGTGACAAACGATATGATATGCTTAATGCGCCTGTCTACTCTAGAGTACAGGGATATTAGAGTATTACCTGCCTGAGAAGCCCGGTAATTGTAAGTGGGGTGATTCACAAGTAAGAGCGTCGATGTTCGTATTATAGTCGCACCTCGCTATCTCGTAATTCTATATCTCGGATCTCTTGCTGTCTCATACGAATTTGCGGGACAGGTACTGCCCTTCCCCACCAAAAATTATTTGCTGTATCGTAGCTATCTCGTAGGGTTTTGGCACCCAGAATACGCTAACGACATAACGAGGTGTGACTGTACTTCCCCGAAGCCTCTCAAGATGTGGTAGACTCGACTAGCCAGAAAGGAAATTCACTCCCGAGGATACCTGTTCACAATCGACGTGCATTTTCAGCTCGAGTATCTGCGTTTTCATTATTCCTTGTCTTCGCTAGTACCCGGGTTGGTGATGATTATGTTGACACAACGTGCTGCAGCATGCACATTGCAGATCGCGCCCCTTTTGGGAATAGGGTCGGCGAGGGAGGCACTGCGGGGAAACATAAACCTCATGCGCGCGATTCGCACAAAAAGAAAAATCTATTTTGGTAGGGTATCAACATACTAGGATCCTATGGATTTGATAACTTCGAGGGTGAGGGGGTTGCTCGGACAGGGTACTTACATGTATGGTGATTTGAACGATGAGACGGCTCCTATGTTTGAAGTCGCCTGAACTAAAACCTGAACATAAGCAAAGCGCGGGCACAAGCAAGCAGGTGAGTAATAATAAAGGCACAGTGAAATGAGTGATTGTGACTACATGTACGTGAGATGGATGTAGAAATGTAGTTGCAAACCTGTCTACAGGAACCATAACTTGGCGCTAGGGTTAGGGAAAAACCAATACTGCCAAGCCATGCACTAGGATCAATTCTACGCCACTGTTTGTATAATTTGGGACGTGGGCGGCGCAATAAGGGCAGCTAGTCCGTTTGATTCTGAATATCGGGACTCAACAATTCCTTTCAACTGGTTGCCAGCAGGCTGGCTAGGCCCCGAATGTTTCTACTCTTCTTTGAAGTCTACCTCGCGCGACTACTTGGATTATGATTATGGATTATCCCTTAAGCTGTCGATGCTGACCGGTACCCCCCTATAACAGAGGAATTAAATTTGTATGAGAGATCTATTATTTGATAAGAGAGATAACGGGATCTGTTAGTAAAGCCACACAGAATTTGCTTTTTTTGGGGGGGTCAGCATTTCGTGACAGCTTAAGGGATAGATACATTAACTTTTCCTTAATAATCATGGGGTGCTCAATGTTGGGGTGCCTTTGGCACCCTATCCTCCCTCCGCTCTCCTAGTACGTAAAAGGGACTGACTTCGAGATTTATATGTGCCAAGGAATGACCGCTAGAGATTACGCCGGAAAATACTCCCAGGCTTGTGATGGATTTTGCTGAATAATCATTGGTCTCATTATAGTGAACTAAACTTAGATAGGTAACTTTGTACCATTCCACCCGCGACCCCTCTGTCTCCGACATTCGGATACTGAGATCTATTTCAGATATATTTCTTTCGCGGTGGGGCCGGGTTACAATACCGGTTGCTGGCTGGTCACTTCAACCTTCGCTCGGAGAGTTTAAAAAGTCATACCTACATGTATCTATGTATAGTTGTACATAGGCGCGCACGCGCACATCCGTAGATTGGCATTGCAATACTCACCATGTTCGACCACATGTATGCGCATATATATACGCGTACAACTAGCTAATATTATCGCGATAGAACGAGATCATGATCACAAGGAAAATAAAGAAGATCGTGCCCAAAAGAAAACCATGAGAAAGGTGAGAAGTGTGAACAGAGCTACGATGGAAAGCAAAGAGAACAAGAATATCACATATAGACCACACTCTGGCATAAATAACACCTCCAAACTACAACGCCTTTATAGTACTGGATATGGTTTGTCACTACACCTTTTCACAAGGCAGATGACACAGTTGTTAACAATGGAAGAAACGCGTAGGAAAGGGGAAACAATGATTTATATATAGACTCATCAATTAGTATGCAGGTTTTGGATTAAATCATCATGCTGTGATGAGACGGATCCAGTGCGGAGCAGCTCATCAAAAGGAAAATACAAGAGGAATTAAAGCTTGAATATAAGAGGTTGAGTTTAGGTTTGTGCCTGGATTTCTTTTTGTTGTTAACTCCATGATTCTATACAGTCATATATGTAATCAAGGCTATAATAATATCGAACATTATATCTATTGTCCTCAGAAGCTTTCTTAAATGTCTGCCGCTACTATTAACTATAGAAAAAATAAAATAGTATAGTATTCTAAAGTCTGAAGCCAAGCAATATGAATGAAATAATATCGTAACAATTTGTCCCCTCGACGGTGTGGTGGTAACAGAAACGAATCCATAGACAGTAAATATCACTGTGCCTTATGGGTAGATAGAGCGCTGATATAGCCTGCTGCTTATGGTTAACAGTTAATTAGTACTTCTAGTATACTATGATAGGCGACTGTGATCTAAGTACTGAAATATATAAAAAGGTCCGTTTGTACTCTATAATTACCAAAAATTATGAGTAATAGCAAGCTTAAATAGTAGTTCATATCACCCGGGAGCTATAGGTGTGGTTATAACACACCTCGAACTAATCGAACGCTTTTCTCCCCCCAGCAATCTTAAATCGAGTGATACACTGTGACCGAGTGATTGAACATGATTTCTTTACTAGATATCTCTTCTCCGGTGGATTTATTGGTGTACTGCATAGACTATTGGAGATGAAGGGTATTAAAATTAGTGAGTAAGTAAGGATACATAATTGCGCCTTCATCCTATTCATTTCCCTACACTGCCTCCTGGGTTCCGATTTTTTACTAGGGCGGTAGGTGGGTGTATGCTGGCGCCATGTCAATCTAAAATGAAATGAAATAATGTGATACTTCCCCGATGACCTTCCGGTGACTTTCTTAGTCTTTTGAGACCCGGTAAGATCATTCATAGTAAGTATTAAATTTATCCCTACGTAAACCGCGGTGTAGGTATAGATGCGTGGGTCAGGAGATGGACCTTGTACCCAGTGTTGTTGTCTGTATGCCAGAGGAGCTATATCGAGAGGACCTATCGTCTTTAGTACGTCAAGGTGCGCTTACTTATTGATATATATTCCTATACTCCGCCCGTTGTGTAAAGGTTTATAGGGTTCCGGAACTGCGAGTGATGTACCGTGAGCGAGTGATCAAATATGATGCGCTCATGGGATGGTTAGGATCACTGTGGTAGGTCAATTACGGTAATTAAACCTAATAATTTTCGGCCGTCGAATTTAGAGCTGAATACATAAGAAGCTAGGACTTAAATCGTCTAGTGACTCATTCGCATTCTCGAGACTTTTAGCGTGCATTCGGCAACAGGTTAAAATCAACAAAAGACGACCGTTTCTCCAAAACTCAGTTAAGAGAAAATCGTACCTATTTGGCAAGCTACCTTTTAAGCAGAGCTTAGGTGTTCTGGTTGAGCTTTTAGGGCGCAAAAAACCTGCTGCTGGGTTCTCAGATACTGGCATCTCGTGTTTGGTAACGCTGCTTTGAGGATTCTCGGTTTGCAGTCGTCTGGCGGAGTCGTTGCGTAATGGAGTTTTATAACCATAAATTTGCCAAAATGGAGAACTGCCACTGCATATGATACAAGTCAGGGGACCTCACCTCAACTTCGTTTGATCTTGCATGGGCGGAAGGTCGAACAATAATCCTTTGAAGCTCTGGTCTGATAGTTAGCGCTGTATCTGTATCTACTTTGAGTTTAGTAGCCGAAAGCGAGTTCGCACCTTACGTTCTTGAATTTTTGTTTCGAGTCTTTAACGTAAGAATACGCATTATCCTGCAATAAATACCAGAATAAGGGTTGGATACTTCAGTGACATTATATTTGTTGAACAATGCTACTAGGCTGTAGCCCCCGGTACTTATTGTACTTCATGGCACACTCTCTTTCGGACAAACCACACGGGAAGGATCGAGCGATGCTTCAATTAAGTTGCACACCATTTATGTCCATCGCACACAGCCGTAATCCTGTGGTAAAGCGATGAAACTTTAACATATTTAAGTATGCCTGGACCATTGTTGATGACGCGACGGCGGTGGTTTTGTGCGAAGGATGCTTCGTGATATGTACAATATTGTTTGGGTATCTTAGTGTTTCTTGTTGGCCTCCCGAAAAATGTCCTCAGAATCAAAGAGATTGTGGGAAGTATCTTAGCGATCTGTAGCCTAGTGTCATGATATTTATCATTCTTTGTCAGTGGTGAGAGGGCTACTTGACTCATAGTGCTAACCCACCTTGCGGTTTGCTACGATTAAGAACTTAGAAAACTTACCACAGTTAGAGTACTATGAGCCCATCGGAAGTATCTACATGTAGTAGTATTACCAACGAGTAGCCGTCTCTAGTGTCTTCCCATAGTGACCTCTAGTCCATCATTAGCCTTAGCGCCGTCATACTCTCCTTCCAGTGGCTACTAGTAGCGGCGGAGCATTGGCACTGTGTGAGGCTGGGACGAAAGAACTTCAAAAAGACGTTCAACTATTTCGATGATCATGATGTCGATGTGCGGAGGAGGTAGAGGCTTTGTCTTCTAGAGATATTGGTTCAGATTTGAGGCACAGCCTTAGCTAGTTGTGGAAGCAAAGGGGTAAGAAGATTGTAAGTGCGTGGTTCAATGGATGATCATGACCGGTCATGTACAGTGGAAGGTGTAGTTTCAGACATGTCATGCATAGGAGCGGACCAAAGATCAAACACCACCTGGTTAGACTTTAACTTTGAAAGCAGATACCAGCATTCGCATCATATCGGGGAGGTAGCTACCTAAAATCTCCACCAGGCTGGGATTTCCGGCCAGACTGTATACATACTCGCAGGTTCGAAGATTTGACTCCCAACACTGGTGCTTTGGAAAATCCGTATGCAGAGGCTTTACAACCTCCGCAGCTACTAAGCACCCGTAAACATAGCCTCTCTACGCCCGAGTGGATCTGACCTCTGATGACTTTCATCCTCACAACCTCAGCCGCTTGCTACATAGATACATTCTCTTTCACGCCCCATGTGATATTTTCTTTCTATCCTGTGTTACAATCAACCTGGCTAGTTCGCACCTTTCACCACTCCCAAGCTTAGGCGGGGGCGCAGAATATGAAACAGATCAACATCTAACAGTTGTCGTTACCGGCCCTGAAGCTCGGATTTACAGAAGCTTATTCTTTCTTATTTCTTCTTCTTTATTTTCCCTCACGGGTTCCTACATGAGATGATACTAATAGGAGAAAGATAGTAGACAAACCTCCTCTTGGATTCTTTCACGATCGTCGATGAGCCTCGCGATGCCTATAAAAGAGTCTACCACGCTATCAAAAACCACTACATCCACAAAGATCCCAAATAACCGAAAAGGTTAACTACTACCCAGAATTAGTCAACATCTGAACATAAACAGTACCAGCACCGCGTCAATGATGTCTGGCCTCACACCCGCAAATATAGAACCCCGCAGCTTGTCCACCGAGCTCAGTATCTACCACTACCTCATAGCTGAGCTCAGGGAGAAGCTCCGCAGGGGAATAGAAAACTTCCTCAACACCCCAAATTCGCCTAACATACGTTCATTCATCATTGAATGGGCTGAGGAGGACTCTGTTTACCCGTTAGTTTACCAGCTTATTCTGTGTGAGAGACGGATTATAAGACTCCGGCGTCAGATGAGAAGGGAAAGTCTCTCCCGGGTTGATGGGATGTGGGGTTGGGTATTGGATTGAACTAGGCATCTATTCGTAGCTTTGCAATGGGCTTCCAGACTTTGGTTGCGGTGGGGGCTTTTTTGAGGTATCAATGAAGGTCGAGAGGGGTACAGTAATCTTTGCCGCTAAAGCAGAGGCGGGCCAGAAGAGTACAATGGAGTGGAACGGCCAAGGAGTAGAGCGGCTTGATAGAGTAACAGAGGTATCTAGGGTATATTATTATGTAGCTATAGAAGCAAATAGTAAAACGAAAGAAAAAATAATTGAGATGTAAACCCGGAACATATTCGCCCCAGAAAGCGTTGGAGATAGCGCCTGAGGCTTCTATAATTAGTTATATAGTGATACTATACTTTAATGTACAATAGAATCGCATGCCCCTTTAATCCGGAGGGGAGTTCGTTGCATTTTCTCTCTCTTTTTCAACCAACGGATTTGAGTTTGTGGCGAGTGATAGATGATGAGCCAAGACACTAGCAGAATTAGAACCAACAGCTAATTCTCAAGGCATGTCTAGAGCAATGGTGTCGGGAGACCAGAGAGAGGGGAGGGAGGTGGTATTGAGGAATTTTTGGTCGAATATGTAGACAGACCCTGCGTCTTGACGGGCGGGTTCATGACAAGCATTGGCAGTGATGAAAACCTGCTCCACTGCGTACTCCTGCGTAACTTCAGTTAATATCAATTTATTTGCGAAGTGTTTTAGGTACCAAATGTTTCTCCGAATACACCTGATTAAGGAGTGCGTTGTATAATTTATATCCGTTTTATGACTGTATACGCATACGCTCTCCGCGAGGATACACGGAGATCTAACCTAACATTTCATTTATTAGCCATACTCTTCTGCCCAGTTAAAATGTTAAATACACATGATTACTGTCCAACCAATGTATATTAACATGAAATATAAAGCACATGACCGGACCATATCAACACATACCGTCCTGCCTTTCTTTCCTGAAGCCTTCGGCATATCACATGCTGTCCAGAAATGAATTAAACAAAAAAAAAAAAAAAACATGCTGTCCAGATATTGATTTGTGTGGTTCAGTCGTGAAATTTCTAGCGGTTAAGTTCTAGAGGTTCACTCACATGTCGTCATGCCTGCAAGGCCGAGCTTCTGAGATAATGAAACAGACCCAAGGGCAGGTACAAAATACGAGAGGACTGGAATATGTAAGGCTATGAGGCCAGAAATTTCGGGGAAAGAGCCCCGGCCTAATATCATAGTCTGTGAAAATATTACTTCTCTGAAGATTGTCGCCCCTGCCCCGGCGTAACCCAAAACAAGAAATATAAGTAGGCCCCAAGTTTCCCTAGCACTTGTTCCCAAGTCCACGTTTCTATTCCTTTGTGGAGCTGCAGTGAGAGTTGAAATTCAAGGTGGTGGTGGTAGTGGTGGGCGGGGTACGGGTATAGCCATGGGCAAGAGAGGATGGAAGGGACTTGTGCTTCTGCTGCTTGATTAATGCATTGCATTACGATGAAGGTATTGGAACAACGCTAGCTTTGAAGGCCGACATGCTTTCGGCGATAATCTGGTGACCGGTATCTGTAGAGATCTATTGGGTGGTTATGACGATTGATCATGAGCGAGACACCTACTAACCTCCTTTCTCGCCGTGTTAGCAATTATGAATCTGGTGATCTCTCGATTCTTCTTTCTTGACACTGTGGAGGTGACCGATGGAGGAGGCATGTGGTCGATGTTCTGTTGTTGGGGTGGGGTCCGTGCATAGCCGTGGCTTCTGTAGGCGAGATTCTCGGGGAATAATTGGATGAACCCCACTAATGCACACAACCTCACCTTGCTTACGCGCAACCCGCCACAGGACTTCACCTCGACACTATGCTACCACGTGTTCGAAAATATTACCCGCGTTCACAATGTGAAAGAGATGCATGAAGATTCTACTCTACCGACTCTCCCCGCAGTTGGTTGCAGATATTAAGGCGTCAAGAGTTTTTCCAAAAGCTCACCCACCACACACCACCCACCACCCACCACCCACCACCCACCACCCCCCAGCCTCCAGCCACCGGAGAACATGAACTCAATCACGCCCTGCATAATATGCCCTGACCCATAATCCCGTAATGTAGGTCAAGAAATAATTTTCGCACCGCTCCGTGTATGAGCAGCGTACTAAAAACGCCTATAGACGCCCAGTGGGAGTTTAGCCGCGCCACCAGCTCTTCAATGCAGCTATCGACAGAATAGAAAGAATAAAGGCTACATCAATTAGGAACTTCTAGCCCATTCTTCCGTAAAAAGTTGAACGCCGCGCTCACCTCTAATTACCGGGGGCTCTTGAAAGGGTTATGGGAAAGCAATATCGTGCTGCTGATGTAGCCAGAGTAAGGCGGGTCGGGCTTATGATAGGACTAGAAGTGCGTTAGAGTTGTGCTTTTAAATGGCCTTGAGGGAGTGTTGGGTCCTAATGCTGGACCTAACATTAGTCAAAGTGTGTTCCTGTTATGTGCATATAACGAGTCGCTTTTCGCTAGAAGCACCTTTCAGCGTCGTCGACAGTGTAGGTAGAATGCTAATACACGACAGATAATACAATGTTTACATAAAGAAGCATCAGAAGTAACACAGATCAACATAATCAACCCGAATACCTCTTTCAAAGTGGCGCATATGTGCGTCTTTAGTCATAGTAAGATCACAGCCAAAGAACACCCCTGAGAGTATCTGCTAAGGGATAGCATTGCAGACTCTCTGGGCTGCGTGTTCTAGTATCTCTCTTCTACGATATTCAATAGGGACTCACAGTGGAGCAAGTAGATGCTCAATTAGATACTCTTTGAGTCACCTCAAACTCGTACCTGAGCTCAAGTGTGGGCATGATGGGAGGATAGACATCTCCCGACAAAGTTCGGGAGTCAGAGATTGATTTATGATACAGTGGGTGGAACGATATACGATTGATGGACTACGGCAAAGGCTCAGAGACTGTCCAAAAGTTATGGAAATACTAGTCACATTGATGAGTTGGTCTGGATCTTGAAGTGGTTGAAATGCAACAAAATTTCAATCAAGGATCTCGGTGAAGCTTGATGCAGAAAGATTTGTACCTCTCGCGATGTGGAAAAGATCCTGATAAGCGGAGATCAGATTCCGAGAAGGGTGGAGAAATATGGTACCCTAACAAAGTAAGATTGGTTGGCAGATTCTGTGCCGGTTAGCCCTGTCGTTGTGAAAATCTCCCGAGTGATAACTTGTGAAGGTACTAATTGCGTTATTAAAGGCTGTGTAGGGAGAGGAAGGATCTATATGGGAGCCATTTTAAGTCAAGTATACTTTTGAATACTAGGATACCGGAGGATTCTTTTTACAGCCCAGATCTCCATGGCACAGCAGTCCAGATCTTTGGACGCTGCATAGTGGTTTCAAGCGAGTGATAACCCGTGATTCTTCCGAGTTTTTTCCGTTCCTTTTACGTTCACTTTCCAGTCACAAGGTTGTATATAAACATTTAAGTAAAGACAGCGGTTTATCCCAACTGTGAGCTTCCCTTATTACACTATTTCCTCACTATAGCTGATCGCACTTACCCCCACCACAGTATCAAGCCATACCTCTCATCCGGCATTTTCTCACACTACTGATCGGGGAATGAAGTGACCGTCACCGCTCTTTTGTTGTGCTGCTTTCTCCGGTGTACCTCGCCGATGATGCATATCATGAAACATCTTACAACACCAACCTCTTCTCGCCAGTGATGAATATCATGTTTCAGGAGCAGAGTGTCAAAGCAGTCTGAAGACCTGCAAGAAGAACGCTGGCGAATGATGGCAGTGAAATATCCTCCTCTTTCTTCCCCAGCTAATAAAAGCCATTGGTTTCCTATCAATTTTGACTTCAACTTCCAGAATTCGCCCTTCACAAGCAACCCACCGGTAGTAGAATAAAATAATAAATCCACAAAAGTATGTCTAAACTCGCCGCCTTGAGGCTCAAGCGTCTCCAGTACCAACAAGAGATATATGAATATTGTAAGCAACAGGCGGAGATCCAAAACAGTCAAAGTGATGTAGCCCAGTTACTCAGGCAAGATAGTGGCCGATACAACAATGGTGCTAGAGAGGCGGAACGTGATCGTTTGAAGTTGGCGAAGAAGTATGATGACCTCGAGCGCCTGATTATAAAGATTGAGGGTAGGATACAGGAGATAGGCGATGAGATTGATTGCCTGTCGTATTGGTCGGAGGGCTTTGCTTAGTGTGGGGGTGGTAAGAAATTCGGTATTTGAAGAGCTAGTGTAGTGTCTGGCAGCGTACCCACACAGCTTATCGTGGGTGCGGACAGACATGAGATATATTATTCTAGGAATGAAGAATCATGATCAGAGAGGAAACTTAGACGTACTATTAGAATAAAATCACGATTAGAATGCTTCTTTCATTCGATATTGTATCTGGTGATATCAGTTATTGTAAGAACCTTCCAGCGGGTTTGACTCGCCTTCTTATTTCACCCTTCCTTCTTTCTCTTCAGAGAGCAACGTGATGGGGCTGTTTCCTTGTTCTTCATTATTTATATCCTCTTTAATAAGCGCTTTTTCTGGGGCAAATGCTGACAACCAGGGGTCGCTCTTCCCTCTGACTTCTCTGCCTAAGTCTCTTTGTCTCGTTTCTCTTTCTCTCCCGCTTTCACCTCTGCCCTGCTGCCCATTCCCTCACTTCTCCTTTCCTCGGCTTCTCCCTTTCTCCCTTCCTCGGCTTCTCCCTTTCTCCCGTTTCTCACTTGGCTGGCTCGTTTGGTAGCTGTTTCATACCCGGCGACCGATGGACCTCTTTCTTTATAACCACCCCAAAGCCCATCACAGAGCCCATACAATAGAAAGAAAATGATGCTGTAAGTTCTCTTCCGATTAGCTTGTTCTTGAGTGTGCGGGGGCTTACACCAGGACAGAGCTTCCACATCGGCCCTAAGTCAGTAAGTCCATTGTATCTTAGTCAACTTGTCTTCTCGCTCTATTTCTCTCAGTAATAGCGCGGATCAGGTTTTGGGGTTTAGAGTGTACGTAGGTAGTGCGATTTTGTCTGTGGGGGGGCGGGAGAGGGAGAGGGAGTTTATATCTGCGAACTCTTCATCGAAGATTTAACTCGTTGTGATCAGTCAGTGCAGACATCTATCAAGGTGCTTTGTGCTTGGAGCTTCATGTCACTTGAACGAGAAGAGATGCCACCGCAACCTGGAGGGGCGAGCCCCAAAAAAAAAGAATAGGAAGTTACGTCATGAGTTATCACTCGCACACAATAGCCACAGTATTAAAATTTACAGCGGGGTTGTTATTGTTAATTCATTTATTTTATAACTTTCAGCGGGATATAGTTTTAACCTAAAGCCTGAGTCCTACGAAGTATATATTTAAATATTATACCAAGACGCGACTCCCATACACTACCATCTTACATAAAGTGGCCTTGGACAATACATGTCGCAGGTAAATGCGGACTGTGAGGACTAAAGCCGGCCTCTAAAGAAATGAAGCCGAAATAGTTCCATATTGTAATTCTAGAAAATGTGCCAAGAACTTAATTATTCTAGACTCTTTAAAGTAACCAGCAAACTGTGCTTAGTGCACATAATCCGCCAATGAAACGAATCCCAAGGACAAAACCGGCCCCACGAAACGATTTCCATATCAACCTCAATTTCAAAACCGGCCCCACGAAACGATTTCCATATCAAACCTCAATTTCAACTCCAACCCAGCGCAAAGAACCAACTCCCAGACCCATAAGCTAAGACTGCATCCTCCTGTCTTATCGGGTCAGGACTGAGGAGTTGGAGAAGCCACCTTATCTGGCCACGTTAACCCCACCTCGTGCGGGACTGAAAATACCTCATCAAGGGATGATTGTTGTAACTAGCTGTACCGGTCTATTTTGCAGCGAGGCAGAAGCCGGAGATCTCTCCATGGGCGAGAGATATATTCCAGCCCGGACTAGGTAAGGAGCCCCATCATGCGAGAAAAACGGCTCCGGGCTGAGGAAAACAGATTTAAATCCATACATGGATTGTATATATATTTAGAAATGGTTGAGAAGATGATTGATCAAGAAAGCTCTATATTTGGTGGCGTGTACAGGATATAGATCTGATCAACTCGACTAGGAAGGTTAATACGGCGATGTCAACAATTCTCTCTAAAATTGATTGTTTATCTGCACCATATTACTTTCTATGTCCACCGTAAAATGTCTGCACGTTATCGATGTCATATAAAATCTCATAGGTTACAAAAGGACAAGACGGAAACGATTTTCTTTGTCATAATTTCAAAATCAGAGCGAACACGAAAACACAACATAAGAACGCAAGAACGCAAGAACACAAGAACGCAAGAACGCAAGAACGCACGAACACATGAGCGCAAGAGCGCAAAAGCTAAAGCTCGAGAACTCAAGAGCTCGAGAACGCAAGAACCCAAAAAGAGAAGGGAAAACTCCACCCTTAATATTGCACGCAGGTATTGGTCGAGACCAATGTAAATACATGTACGTACCTTCACACTGAAATACATGTAATTAACGGAGTGGGGATTTTCTTGTGGATGGGAGCGTACACGAATCCGAAATCGTTAAACGACACGTAGCTAGAGGCGGATTTACTTTGAAATCTATACCCTCGATATCCATATTTTTAACACCAAAATAGCTTGTCAGGACGATCAAGGAATAAGTGGACATGTTTCTCTACCAACATCTACCATGGTACGAAATGCATCAGTAAATGCATCATAAATGCATCAGTGAAAGTCGTCAGTCAATTAATCAAGCCTTGTTCCTAAAACATGTGGATAATGCATCAACTAATGCATCAACTAATGCATCCTTAATGCATCACAGTCTCGTTTTGCCAAGAGTTCGGGAAATACTTATATCAGGAAAATAGAAATGCAAACAGTGCCGGATTTCTGAATCATGCCAGTGGGTTGAAATGCATCAGTAAAGGAATCAGTAAAGACATCAGTAAAGGCATCAGTAAAAGCATCGGTAAAGAGATTAGTAAATGCATCATACCGAAAAACACTCCTGCCCCGATGCAAAACAAACGAATGTGGAGGGATTGAACCTGAATCCTTCCGATTATCTAGCTTAGACTTGGAGCTTACCACCTGTACCATTATATCTGTTCAATATATAGCACTTACTAGTATAAGCAATACGTATAAGCTGACTCAATAGGTATATGTAGCCGAACTGGAGATCCAAGAATATCTAAGTCAATAATCAGTAGAGACAAGAAATACCAAGAACAGTACTAGTACTAGTAGTATTCGCGGTCCGACGATTTTCCCTACTACACCTTTAACTACTGTCGACGATTTTACCTACACCTTTCCCTACGACTTTCCTGGGGAACATTGTCAATCAGTAGGGAAAGGTGTAGGTAAGATCGTCGACAGTATTTACTTAGTAGGGAAAGGTGTAGGTAAAATCGTCGACAGTAGGGAAAGGTGTAGGTAAAATCGTCGACAGTAGGTGAAGGTGTAGGTAAAATCGTCGACAGTAGGGAAAAGTGTAGGTAAAATCGTCGACAGTAGGTAAAGGTGTAGGTAAAATCGTCAGCAAATGTGTAGCCTGATGCATTTATTGAGGCCTCGACAAGCTTATGCATCAACTGATGCATTTGCAAGCCGCTTTCGTATGGGAAATGCATCAATTGATGCATTTCCTGCCGTGGTTGAGCCAAGGATGAACCTCGATAAGTTCACTGAGTAGACAATATCATTCTACATACAGATGTAGAACATTATAGTAATACGACTGCAAAACTCAGACAAAGCAAAGTCTTTCTATCACAAAAAAAATCTTTCCTATCACTATAGTTCATCAAATAAAACGGAAAAAAGAGGGATTTTCAATAATATTCATATTTGTCATCACTTGTCTATCAAGCATCCTATAAGACACACATTGAAAAAATCACTTTCCTCACAAGGTTTTGATACATAAAGTCGAAGGAACAAACATAATAACAGAAAGGATGTTGTGTGGTTGCGATTTCGAAATCTTTGTACTTCGTTACGGTCCAATGATGGGATACCAGATCAGTAGTCTTATTCCTCAATCAAGGATTAATGGTAGATACGATTTATATAAGCCTTAAAATATTAAATAATCGTTTCTTAAGCTACTTGTAATGATTATCTGTTCCACGCCGTTATTAAGGGTTATGATATCGTTTTACTGCGAAAACGGTTATTTAAGTCTTATCTAACCCTTATTTAACGCTTATTTTTTTTTTTACCCCAAAACAGTCCAAGTATGAACCTTCAACCTGTTTGTTTACATATCTGTTTTCAACTCCTTCGTTTGATTTGGGCGTAAGTGCCGATTAAAGTCTCGGGCTCAGAAGCTCTGGCTGGACCTAGGGCGTAGTGGGTGGACCATGAATTATCACTCGATTGTATCTGTCTTGGCACGTGGAAGTGGTTGAGCCACATACGCTCGATCGATGGCGCACTAGGCTCGTATATGCATCCCGAGCTTTCTCTCCCAAGATTTAAATAACGTAGCTACAAAGGATAGAACTTCTTGTGTTTTCCTTCACAGTATCCCCGACCCCCTATTAGTAACCGCAGCTTCGTACTTCAATTATTTTCAAGAATGGAATACATATGGGCACCGGAGAAATCGTTCTGTGTGCAGTAACGCAACGAACCCTCGCCAGCCCACTGCCGCGCTTTGTAGGCTCCAATTGATGGGACAAATGCCAAAATATCAATTCAAGTTTCTCTGAGCTTTAGGAAAATCTGTCGGTTGTGCGTTCTTTTCGGAATGAGGCTTTGGTTGTGTGGATCGCGGCCGGTTCTACTAAATCGATACCCATACACGTGCACTTCCTTCAACGACAACAACCATTTGGTGAGTGCCTGTTTATATATGCGGTTATATAGCATTGATTAGGGTTTAGAGAGATAAGTTGTAAAAAAAAAAAATTGATAAAAGTTAATTTAACTCCCACCAAGGCGGGGACTTGAACCTCCTGCCTGATGTAACGGGTTGGGTAGTAAGTGCTGAAAGCCATTAGGCCACGCACACCCGCTGAAAGGACATGTCTGTTGTGGTATTTCAGGGGATTATCTCCGGCGTGTTCTGACTAATCTACGACGTACTAATCCTTATGTCATGTTCTCATTCTAAGAATAACCTCCTCGTCAAAGCCGAGCAGCTTCACGAATTGGTTCAACAAGGACCAGCTCTACGT